TGTAAAATATTTTAACCTTATGTGAGTGAATGTAACAAATTCTTAATGAAGTGTATTTCTCTATGGAGGGAGGGGAGAAGTTTGTTTCCTGCTCAGTGGTGTTGCCAGCTTTGTGTCACCAGTTGCGAGTGATGGAGGTCTCTGAGGACGATCCAGCTTACATGGTTAAGTTCAAGGGTGACCTTCAAAGCAGAAATGGAGAAGCGCAAGGAAAAGGCTAACATCATGTGGCTCAGGGTTGCAACAGCACTGGATCCTAGGTTTAAGGATCTTAAGTGTCTGAGCAGACCTGACAGGGCTGAGGTGTGGCGCTTGATCAGTGCGTTGCTGAGGGAGAGGCAGAGGCCTGCGCAGCTTGAACAACCAGTAACATTTGAGCCATCTAAGAAAAGATCAGCTCTCATGCTTGCCTCAGTCTTCATCTGATGAAGAAGAGGATTGCATTGAGAAATGTGTGGAGTGATACTGGGCAGAGCCAACTGTTGACATAGAGGACTGTCCCCAGAAATGGTGGCCCAAGCATGAAGGGGCACACAGTGAGATGGCATACCTTGCATGCAAGTACTTGGCAATACCTGCCACATCCATACCATGTGAGGGGTTATGGGTGGGTGTAGTTTCCTGCGTTGGGGTCAGGTGGGTCACACTTTCTGGGCATGTCATCTGAAAATGTCAAAATGCTTGTCTGTTTGAGCAACTGGTTCAGTGCAAAGAAACAAAAGTAATAGGGACAACCCATGCACTGTATGTTTTTAGTTCTTTCTTCCCTTTCTCCTTTGTGGTGTTTCCATGTTCATGTTTTGTTAGGAAAACTGAAAAAGGAAGAAGCTTGCATTGTTCAGCTTCTGCTAAATGCAACTGGAGAGCAACAAGTACAGCCAAACTGTTTTAGTCAAAGACACTGTAAGTATTAAGTATTATTACATATGCATTTTATTTATTGTATTTTTAATGTGTACTGTGTCTCCCACACTTAGATGGAAATATGTTTTGTGAGCCTTAACTGTCTAATGGTAAATTAAACAGTTACATTGTGTGGGAGTGTATGCTTAAGTTTCCTTTCAGCATATTTTTGAGCATTCAGTACCTTTGAGGTTTTTCTAAAGAATATTTTGGACTTTTGATTGTTTTGAATTGTTGCAATAAAAATAAACATATTTGCATAAAGCAAGTATATTTGTTCACTCCCATACTGTTAAGGGTATTAGAAGCATGAAAAGCATCTAAGTATTCTAAGTTCCTTTAGAACAAATCTTTTAAAAATCCGTGATTAATTTGGGATGAATCTTGAGTTAACCATTGATAAGTACGCGATTAATCGCGACTAAATATTTTCATCGACTGACAGCCCTAATATATACACTTTAAGCAGTCTGTTTGCCTCCTTCCCAGGGCAAAGGGCAACATCTCCTGGGTCTAGGGGCAGATTGCCCCTCTGGGTGTGATGGCACCTGGAACTGAGGGTATAGAGTATGTTTGGGGAGTGTGTGTACAAAGTTAATTTCTGTTTGTCTCAATGGTGGGCGAGTGTTGAGTATTGGTATATGTGTGCATGAGGGCAGGAATGTGTCTGTGTGTGCCTGTTTGTCTATGTCTTATACTTCACCTCTCGGTGAAGGTCGGGTCTTACGGTGTGTTCAGACTGAACGCGATAGATGCGAACAGAGCGTCAAGTGTACATGTAAAGTCAATGGAAAAGCGCGATGACACGCGATTGCAGGTCCCGCGAAAATTCAGAAGCAGATTTGCGTTGCCAAAACGCGTGAAACGCGCGTCAGAGTAGCGCGTCTGGCACGTTTGACTCGCGAAAAAAACCAAGCGCATGAGTTTTTGTGTTGCATTTTGTGCATACGCGCGTTTCGTGTCTACCGCTCGAGTTGGAAAAATCTGAACTCCAGCGTCAAATCGCGCCACGACAACCAATGAGGAGCCTGGTGACGTGACTGTGACCTAGGTCAAAGGGGCAGATCCAGTCAGAGCCCTTCATTCTTCAATGGAGGGAAGGCTAATCAACGCCGTAGCAAACAACCCGGAGCTGTACGACACCAGCTGCTTTCTGTATCGAGACAGGAATATAAAGGACCGAGCTTGGAGGAAGATATGTGAAGAGATCGGGCAACCTGGTAAGTTCATTCATTTTTCTTTTGAAAGTTTTCACTGACCTGGGGAAGCTGCACAAAAGCTAGCAAGCCACCGCTATTTTCCCACTGATGTACAAATACCGTTCTGCTTTTATGCATGTTGTCATATAGGAATATATTTTATTGTTTATTAATAAACAGCACACAGTGGTCCCGCTGTTCATCCGTCACTGCTTCACATTTTCGCTGATTTTTTTTATTGGAGTGCAGCATTGCATTATGTAGCCCAGTGCTTCCCAAACTTTTTCCAGCCACGTACCCCTTGAGACATGTCACCCTCAGCCGCATACCCCCTACTACGAACGACTCTTAATTA